AATTTGCGTGAGAAAATTATATTTACTGTTATTGAGGGGAAATACATTCACGCAAGCAATGTTTTCCAGAGAACGAAAACAATTTGTAGGGTTCATTCTGTATTTAAATCGTATTAAATGCCGCATTTCAGTGTTTTCTCTTTTCAAATGAAATATTCAAATAAAATATAACCAAATCTAATCTGAGAAGAAAATGTCTGTAATAGAAAAGCAATGGATGTTTAGAGGTTTGATAAGCAGAAGGACCATAAATGAAACATTGAACTGCTTTGTTGAACGTATGTTCTGTAGGTCTACAGCGCTATCTAGTGGTTAAAATGAGCTCACACTCGGATTAGCGTCGTGTCTCGTAGATTATATAGTGTTTAATTTTTACCTCTGTGGTGATTAAACAGTCAAACATATTGCAAAAACACAACATGTTAAACATTTATATTTAATTGTAACATTATCAAGACCTCCCCTTATTTAAAATGACAGTTAATCTAGAAATGAAAATTCTGTCATTATACTCACCCTCATGTTTCAAAACGGTGTTTCTTGCTTTCTTAGGCGAAGCACACAAGGAAAAGTTAGCCAAAAATTCATTTTCCATTCAATAAAGTAAATGGTGACTCAAACTTTGACTTATTTCTAGAATTTACTTCTTTTTTTTTTAAACAACGGTGACGTAATTGGTTTTTACACAGCATTGTACGGTTTCTAAAAGACGTAAAATATTTCTATACAAAAAAAAAACGTATTTTTCCTCAGTTTATGTTGACTAAGCAAGTCGATTTCCGCTCCATAAGAAAAAAAAATCATGGTTTGGTAAATTAGAATTCTGGGGGAATAATAATAATAATGGCATAAATAATTAGAAATTTAAACGAACAAATCGTAATTATCATGTAAAGTGTCAAAATTATAACTTAAATTTTCATCTTTTTTTTTTTTTTTGCCTTCTTGTGGCAGAAATGGACTTACATAGTTTACCTCCATTTCTGACACTGTTTAGATTTTTAAAGTGACTTATTTTTC